ACTTACATTCTATAGGCTAAATAAGATGATAAAAAAAATCATCCAAAGCACAGGTCTTGGTGGTGATAGGGAACTTCAACTACCCAGATATCTGTTGGAAAAATAATACTGCAGGGCACAGATTATCCAACAACTTCTTGGAATGCATTGGAGACAATTTTTTATTTCAGAAGGTAGAGAAAGCAACTAGGGGAGAGGCTGTTCTAGATTTGATTTTGACAAATAGGGAGGAACTGGTTGAGAATTTGAAAGTGGAAGGCAGCTTGGGTGAAAGTGATCATGAAATGATAGAGTTCATGATTCTAAGAAAAGGCAAGAGGGAAAACACCACAATCAAGACAATGAATTTTAAGAAGGCAAACTTTACCAATCTCAGGTTGTTGGTAGTTAAGATCCCATGGGAAGCAAGTTTCATGAGGAAAACAGGTCATATTACAAAGGATGAATATAAACAAACAACACAAGTATGAGACAAAATTAGAAAGGCACAAAATGAGATTAAACTAGCTAAAGACATAAATAGTAACAAGAAATCACTCTACAAATACATTAGAAGCAAGAGAAAGACCAAGGGCAGGGTATGCCCATTACTTAATGAGGGGGGAAAGACAATAACAGAAAATGTGGAAATAGCTGAAGTTCTAGATGAATTTTTTGTTTCAATTTTCACCAAAAAGGTTAGTAGTGATTGGACATCTAACAGAGTGAAAGACAGTAAAAATGAGGTAGGATCTGAGGCTAAAACAGGGAAAGAACAAGTTAAAAATTATTTAGACAAATTAGATGTTTTCAAGTCACGGGGTCTGGTGAAATACATCCTAGAACACTCAAGGAGATGTCTAAGCCATTAGCAATTATCTTTGAAAACTCATTGAAGACAGGAGAGATTCTAGAGGAGTGAAAGAGAGCAAATATAGTGCCAATCTATACAAAGGGGAATGAGGACAACCTGGGGGATTACAGACCAGCCAGTTTAATTTCAGTACCTGGAAAGATAATGGAGCAAATAATCACGCAGTTTGCAAACACCTAGGAAGATAAGTAAATAAGTAACAGTCAGCATATATTTCTCAAGAACAAATTGCCTCAAACCAAATGAATAGCTTTCTTTGACAGGGTAACAAGCCTTGTGGATGGGAGGAAGCAGTAGATGTGGTATTTCTTGACTTTAGTAAGGGTTTTGTTACTGTCTCGCACAACATTCTCATAAACTAGGGAAATGCAACCTAGATAGAGCTACTATGAGGTGGGTGCATAACTGGTTGGAAAACCATTCTGAGAGGGTAGTATCAGTGGTTCACAATCAAGCTGTAAGGCCATATCAAGTGGGATCCCACTGCGGAACGGAATCTGGGGGTTATAGTGGATCACAAGCTAAATAGGAGTTAACAGTGTAACACTGTTACAAAAAAAGCAAACATCATTCTGGGATGTATTAGCAGGAGTGTTGTAAGCAAGACACAAGAAATAATTCTTCTGCTCTACTCTGCACTGATTAGGCCTCAACTGGAGTATTGTGTTCTGGTGCCACATTTCAGGAAAGATGTGGGCAAATTGGAGACAGTCCAGAAAAGAGCAACAAAAATTATTAAAGCTCTAGAAAACATGACCTATGAGGAAAGATAGAAAAAACGGGATTTGTTTAGTCTATAGAAGACTGAGGGGGGACTTGATAAGTTTTCAAGTACATAAATGGTTGTTACAAGGAGGAGTGAGAAAAATTGTTCTTGCTATCCTCGGAGCACAGGACAAGAAGCAATGGGCTTAAATTGCAGGAAGGGGGATTTAGGTTGGACATTAAGAAAAGCTTCCTAAATGTGAGGGTAATGAAGCACTGGAACAAATTGCCAGTGGAGATTGTGGAATCTCCATCATTGTAGGTTTTTAAGAACAGGTTAGACAAACACTTGTCAGCAATGGTCTAGCTATTACCTTGCCTTGCTATTGCCTTAAGTGCAAGGGACTGGACTAGATGACCTATTGAGGTCCCTTCCAGTTCTGCACTTCTATGATTCTGTAAACAGAGTCAGACACTTGTGCGGCACTTGCCATCTAAGAATCTCACAACACATTATAAAGGTGGGTAAAAAGTCTTACCTCCATTTTACAGATCAGAAAAATGAGGTGCAGAGAGATTAAGAGTTTACAAATCAAATCAGCAGCAGATCTGGGAACACAATCTTGAATAAGGTGTGAGTACCTGCATAGAACAGAACTCAGGTCTCCTGACTCCCAGCCTGTACACTGATACCACATTACTTCCTGGAGTAGTGCTAGTGCTAAAAAAGCAACAAAACAACAAAACCCACATAAAACAAAACAAAACAGATACATAGCTTTTGGCTGCATATGTCACTAGGAATAAAATTTTCAAAAGCATCTAAGTCACATTTTCAAAAGTGATTTATGCGTTTAGGAGCCTAAGTCTCATGGAAAGTCAATGAAACGTAGGGTCCTCAGTGCTTAAATCTCTTTTGAAAATTGGGCTTTGGAGCTTAAATCACTTAGGTGGGTCTAAAAAATTTGTTCCATATAATAAATACAAATAATCTGGCAACACCACACCCCTTGATTATCATAAAATTGCAGGAGAATTTCAACCAATCAGAAACCTTGGAAAAATCAAAAACTGTATCCATGTGTCTGACTGCATCACTTTGTTTCTGCACTTTCCACTCCCTCAAACAATATCTCACTTTTTAAGAACATCCCTTGCTCGGTTATTTATTCATAATCATGTCCTACATGCAATAGGTCCCACAAAAACCAGATGTTGAGGCACACCATGTCCAGACCTCATTATGGAAGGATGAATAATGACTTTGTAGTATATTGGCAATAAAAATATGATGAGATAGATTAAACCCAATCTCTTCTCTTGGACTATTAATCAGTCTCAGAGGTTATCCCCTTACCATGCACCTGTTTGCTTTATTGCTGATATACAGTTTGTATCTATTTCCCAATAATGACTCAGAAGATATTATAAGAATTAACACTTCCCTGGCTTAATTTATTGCTTCAAGAATAATCATAATGTGGTATTGCTAGGGGAAATTTTTTCCAGGCCATATATACAATTCAATGCAAGCCATTATATTAATTCAATGTTAACTTTGAGATTTAAGTGCACAAAAGCCTGAAAACTCAATTTTAAGGATTGCCTGGCAACCATCTCTCTGCCCTCTAGAGCTTATGCATTTTGCTTCCATCTTTCATTACAGGATTACTTGTGAGTTATGTATACTATCTGGCAAACACTTCAAGAGAAGGCCACATAAAACTCTTTCTGAATTGGGCCACGGTGAGTTAGCCAATGGGTCTTAAGCACGTGCATTGTTAAATCACACCCTAATGGCTCATATCCAATAACTGAATATTGATCTCCTCTTTAAAGGTTCCAGCCACAAGAAGGAAGAGATTGTTTTACAGTCACTCTTCCCAGCCCTTGTTCCTGTAAGCCACTGTGGTGGCTACCATATTGTAATTGATTCATCCCAGGATATGCTTATGTACTTGCTAAGCATTTATTTTTGTTTGTTTTGCTTGTCAGCAATACAGTTCTATGAGCGGTAGAATAGATGACAAGGTTAAGATGTACCATTATGTCTGGACAAAGGTATTGTGTATTGCTCACTAAGAATTAACGTTCTGAGCTCTACAGAGAGAATATGAAGGTACTGATTAGGCCTCTGTCAAGTATCAACTCTGTTGTCTTTTACTTTCCTCTCTCCCTTCCATCCACAAAACAATAAACATGTTTCTCTGGAACTACCATCCTATTTTTATCCACTGATCAAATTCAAGTTTTCCCTGCCCTCTGTCTCACAGTGTCCACGTAGAACAAACTCCTAGAGCAAGAGGCTATTTTGGCACCTTAGCCCCTTACAACCCTTTGTCTTTCTGCTGAGACTGATGACAAAGGCGCCACTTCACATCACTTGGTGCAGTGGCCTTTGCAGTGTAAACTCTTGTCCCGTAGGAAACACACTAAGACCACTTATGTCATTTTGCAAAGACCACTGAACCACTGCAATGACCTAG